CTACACACAGCCACTGAACTGAGCCACACGGCACATTCCATAATTTTTCTTTTATATTTGTGTCAGTAGTAGTTTGACTCTACAACTATCTGGTGTTAATAAAATAATGTGATTGAATTGTCACCACTAAATCTTCAGAAGAATGTGTTGCAAGCTCTGAAGATAATTTCTGAAGAGTAAGTTCAAAAATATTTTGAGTCAAGGCGGCACTGTTTGGGACTGTAGAGATATTCAAGGACATTCTGTTTTGAAAGACAGCCGCTGAGGACTAACGGTCTGGTTATATTTGAAAACAAAACAAACAACAAGAACAATAAAAGTAGTCACATTACTTTCTGGTCCCACCTATCTTTTTAAAATGGCTCCAATGACGTTTGCAGTGTCTGGCCACAGTCCACCCTGATGCAGAAACTGCATCGGGGAAGATAAGATTTTACTTCGTGTGTATTCACTCAAAGCAGAATCGCCATTGTGGGAAAGACTGCAGAATTGGAGAGCAAAAATCTGTTTTCAAACCAGAGCATTACTTACTGGTGTACAGTGTAAAATAAAACCCATTCCCTTTATCCGAGTAGGGGAGAAATGTGAAGACATAACTAAGGTAGGCTGAACGAGTTGTTACAGGCAGCAAACTGAGACGGCCACAGAGTCCTTGGGAACTGAGCAGGATTCTCTTCTGCCTTCCTGACTGGTGATGACTTGGGGGGATTTCTTGTTCTTTTTTTTTTTTTATTTTTTTTATTATTTCCGGGATTTCTTGTTTTGGAAGAAAGCATTAAGCTATGTCCCATAGACATCCAGAATCCTGGGGACAAACAATATCACATCCTTTCACTTTTTACCTTTTTCTGTAAAACCTTGGCAGAAGGTGACTGGGGGTCTAGTTGTTTCAATGCTGTGATAATTAATCATATATTTCAAAAATAGATAAATGATAAGATTTGAAAATTATATGTGCGAATAATGTGGCCTAGTAAAAGACCTGAATTCAGGTTCCAGCTCTACTATGTGACCTCAGAAAAAATAAGTAACTTTCCTGGATCTCAGCTTCTTCATCGGAAACATCATCATCATCCCCACGGTCACCACTAATACAGCATGCTGACTACATCCCAGGCACTCGGAGGGTCTCACGTATATTAACTCATTTACTCCTTAAGAAGCCCATGAAAAGGCACTATTATTAGTCACATTTTCTACATGAGGAAATTGAGTCACAGAGAAGTTAAGTAACTTGCCTAAAGATAATATTCCACTGGGTGGTTGTGAGAAAAATACAAAATCAGTGATGATTAGTGATAGAAGGAATCTTTACGATCATCTGGCCTTCAACACTAACTGTAAATGTGAGGCATCTAAGGTTCACAAGAGCTGGTTACTGAAGACACTGAATCTCTTCTAGAGCTTCCTCTAGTGGTCTTTTAAAAGCACCTCTTCTACCCTGGCTGGTCTGGCTCAGCAGTTAGAGCCTCGGTCCCGAGGACCAAAGAGTTGTGGATTTAACTCCGGTCAAGGTCACATACCTCAGTTTCAGTTTGATCCTGGGCCCTGGTTGGGGTTGTTCCGGGAGGCGACCAATCAATGTGTCTCTATCACATCAATGTTTCTCCCTCCCTCCTTCCCTTCCTTCCTCTCTCTTTCCCGTCCTCCCTATCTGAAAATCAATGGAAAAATATCCTCAGGTGAGGTTAAAAAATAATAATAATGATAAATAAAAGCACCTCTTCCCTATTTTGCTTTTCTCTAAGTAATATTCTTATATTTTTCACTTATATGTATAAAATTCGTCTAGGTTAGAAAACTGAGAACGAGTTGTCTTTCCCACTTTAAAAAAACAGCTTAGAAACCTTAGGAGACTCAAGGTTCGTGTGTAGTACAGCTGGGCAGAAGGTCCAGGTCAGCGCATGACAGTGAGGACGACGATGACGTGACTAGGATGGCGTGATGCCATCTCATTTACTGCGTCCTGACTCTCTTCGGGGCCCTGTGCCAAAACATCTTACACACATTATCTCATCTAATGCTAAATCTACCTCTGAGTATATAATGTAAAATGTTATTACTTTTAAAATCAGAGAATGGTTGAACCTGAGGTTTAAAAATGCAGACTTTCTGGAGTCCAGATTCCAAATCCCAGTTGTACCGACTTAGCCCGAGGTCCTCTAAAGAGGATAAACTAAGGCCAGGCAGATTAGTGCGGGTTTGGGCTAGACATGGAGAACGGAGGCCTTCTCTCACAGAGAGGACACACACGGGCCCCTCAGTACTTTCTTGAGAGAGTGGGGGTTAACCTCAACTCTTTCAGCAGAATCTCAGGTTTATTTGCCAAAATGGATTTTTAAAAACAATGGCTGAATTACCCTACAGTTCATTACTCATCCTACAGAAATCTAATGTTAGAAAAATGTTCACTTAAGGGTTCGTGGGGGGCAGGGGGAGAACCTGAAGTATATAAGTATGTTCAGCAGTGTTTGACTATGGTCTTTCTTCAACAGAAATGTCCTCCTTTAAAATCACCAGTTATTGGATATAATATAACCTCTCTTTCAGCATCTGCACTAATGGAGAAGAGATGAAGCTCCCGACTTGGCCTTCTGTGTGTTTACTGAGCCCCGCTGCTCTTTTGCTAGACTCGACCCTCCCTGGGCTGCGGGGGCAGCGGGCTTCCACAAGGCCTCATAACCCTTGCCTCCCGGTACCCACACTCTGCGCTTCCTTCCCACACTGACCCAGAGTTGGTGGGAACGGTATGTGACCTTTGGGACTAGGTCACAAAAGGCACTGGGGGTCCCACCTTGCTCTGGAATAAGCCAGCTGCCCTGTAATATGAACGCTTTAGCAGTCCCATAGAGAACCGAGGCCCCCTGACCATGGCCAGTACCGATCTTGGTAGTCATGTAGTAGCCACATCGAACACCTGGTTGACTTCTGACCGCAGCCTCACGGGGAACCGTAGCCAGAACCGCTCGACAACGCTGTTCCCAAACTCAGCCTACAGAAATCATGATTACTGGTGCCTTAAGACACTCAGTTCTGGGTTATTAGTCACGGATACAGTAGTAGATGTGATACAATAGATAATGAATACTGCTACTAACATTGAAAGCATGCACTCAGAAACCACCATCATTCCATCAGTTTCACACACTATACTATTATTAATGATCACAGTGGGCCAAAGGCCAGCAGTTACATTATGTTCTGATTTATATTTGGGTGGTCTAGGTATCATGGTTTTGGGAGGCAATTTTTTAAAAAGATAATCACATATACAACATGGTTGTTTCCATTGAGTGAGATGCTGACTTCATAGGCTTGCAAAATTCCTGATTTAATAAAATTATTGGTAGTATATGTTTACATTCTCTTCACTGTTATATTTAAAAAAGAAAAAAACTTGCTTAGTTTATAGTTTACTTTCTGAAGACACGTTTTGATGCCATGTCTCTGTGCTGGAGTGAGACACTGTGGAGGATCAAAACAACAGGGAGAATTTGAAAGAGCAGCAAGAAATAAATCTGCTGAAATCCACTGCAGTGACTTTCCAATGCTAGAAATTTTAACAACTCGTAATGTGTCCAAAAGGATTCATTTCAACCAGTGCAAAAATGTAGCAAGATTTCAGAAAGATAATTTTAAAAAGCTAGGCACTGGGCATGGGACCTCAATTCTAAACAGGAAAAAAAAATGCTACACATGAATTCATAAAACTTGCCTGGCTGCCAAAAGTATGATATTTCACACTGGTACTATGGGGAAAGTATTTCAGAGGGCTGCCAACTATGCAATCCTGCTTCCTAAATTAGGCCCATTCCATAGTAAAGGAAAGTGACCTTCACACTCCAGAAAGTCTTTACTACAAGCCTGCAGTGCCCGGACTATGCAAAGAACTGCAGAAAGGTAGGTGTATGCAACTCCTGATACGTTAGCTATCAGGACACTAAAATACCTGAGTGAAAAGCTTTAGATAAATCACTGACATATTTGGTTTGTAGAACTTCCTACCAGCTCTGCCTTATTCTGAGCTAATATTTTCTCTAAACTATTTGAAAATAGGTAATATTCGAAACTGGTTTAAGAGCTCCAAAGTATAAGAAAGGGTAATATTAAATAGTAAGCCTCCTTCCCATCTCTGAACTCATTGATTGGCAATCACTTTTACCAGTTTCATGCGTCCTTCCAGATAATTCTATGCATATACAATCCAAGCACATACAAATGTGTTTAGACATCGACTATATGTACAAATAGATATTTCCTGATTATCCTCTTAATATAAATAATAATGCAATATGCCTTTCTGTTGCTTTATATCTTAGGTTTTTTTTTTCTTTCCCTTTTTTTTTTTTTTTTTGGTTACCAACATATTTTAGAGACTATTTGTCTATATTTACCGTATGTTCAATTCACCATCAATATCTGGGTATATTTCTGGCCTTTTCTGGCCGATCAATTAATCTATTTTATATACCAACATGAAACTTAAATTATTATAGCATTGTAATATGTTTTAACATTTGGCCTAATTAATATTCCCTCCCCATGATTACACTTTTTAAGAATTTTCCTAAAAACTCTTATATATTTGATTTTCTATATGCACTTTAGGATTTTTCCCATCCCACCTCAAATTTTGATTTTTAAAACTTGGGAGTCAGAAGTGATGTATCTTTAGTCTCACAAATCCTGTGAAATAGGTACGTAGGTTGTCTTACTGTATGCTATACTAATATAATATATATAGCAATTATCTTAAACTTTACATTTATCTAGAGTTATACTTCTAATGTTCACTTTTACCATCTCCTGTAATCTTCTTAACCCCTTTGAGACTCAGCAGCACATCCGACTCCAGTGTAGATGGAGAGAAACTCATGGACGTGTTCTTACGACTGGGGAGTCGGGGCTTCTCCCACCACGCCCACGGCAGACAGCACTGTGAGTCTCCAGAAACAGTTTAAAAACAGGGATGGTTTTACAGTCGCCCTCATTCATCACGGTCAACCAGTTCCAGACTCCACCGCGATAAACGAACGTCCGCGAGGTAGGATTCGTCGCCCACACACGGTCGTCCCTCGCCACCTCGCGCTTCGACTTTCACGGCTTCGCTCCATCGCGGGTTTTTCAAATACAGTCGTTTTATTGCAATGTTTTATTTTAGAAATGTTGGCACACTATCAAATTATTAAACTTGTAATGAAGTTTAACACTTTCAAGGACACTGACACGAACACAGTGAATTTTCACAAACTGTAGGTGGGAGAGTCAACTGGCACTACCGTTTTGGAAAGTATTTGGACAATACCCTCCAAAGGGTTTCAGAGGAAGAAGAAAACTGCTACTGGGGTTTCTGGGTGGCAGCCTGCAGTCCCCGGCACTCACGAACTCACGTCCTTTGTTCCAGTGGGTCTGTTCCCTCACCGTCTTTGCAGGGCCTGCGATCATGCCCTCCCTCTGCCAGGTGCAGGACGCCCCCTGCCTCCTCCCTGCCCCCGCACCCTGAACCCTAGAGCCCACAAGGCTACACTGAAGCCTCAGCTCTCCTGTTTCTCAATTTTCCCACCAGCTTCTAAATCTGCCTCCTCCCTGCCCAGGCTGCTATGCCCTAAAGCTTCTCTCTTCTGCATGTCCTGATGGAGACAAGTGTAGACTTCGCACAGTTTATGTGTCAAAATTAATCAATATTGTTGTCATTTTCCAAATTAAAATTAAATCATCAAATTGAAACTTTTTCAAACAATGCATATTCCCTCGCTCACTCCTTGGACTTTAAGTCACTTCTCCAGAAATAACAACACAACAAATACAGTAAGAGATTCATTGACATGGTTTTCTTAAAATAATACACCTTGATCAGAAGACATTCTCTACAGAAATTGGTTTTAAGATTATTTGTCTGTGAAATTTCTCCTTCGCAATTAGGCAAATGTTTTCACTTCCTTGTTCAAATTTTTCTTTGATTTAGAAAAACAATTTTCCCCTCAAATTAACAAGAAAAGGTCATTTCTTTTATAAGTGAAAGAACCAAACTTAGATATAATATTTTGTAAGCTTTTTGCTAACATTATTTGTAGCAAGCAATAGTTTATATCAAACAACTGGACAGCACAGTTTAAAATTGATTTCATTTTCCTCCAAAGACCTTGGTTTATTCTTTATTTGAGAAATTTCTGTGGTTCTATTTTTCTTTTTTTTTTTTATTCATCTTGTATCTTTTCGAAATTAAACAGAATGGCGTCCACGGTTTTAGCCAGTGGCACTCCCGCCGTGTGTCTGAGAAATGCTGCAAGGTCAGATTTGATATCTAGTCATCACGATGATCTTTCCTTGGGCAGACCCAGAAAATATCATAAATAACCTTCAAATTGTTCCAAAGAATGTCATCATTATTGGCAGAATTCTGACCACAACTTCTAGTAACAAATTCAAAAGAGTCTGCATTGCTCAAAGCACAAAATTGACTTCTGGAATGTTGCCCAAACCCTGGCATGTATACCTTTCCCGCTGCCAGCTGTCCAGGGCCGTTGTGATGGCCTTGCCCTTAAGATGCTTTACGATGACAAAATACAACTGAAGTTTTTATTGCAATTTTTTGAAAATTTAATGCAATCCTTAAATATTTACTTAGAATGTAATCGCAATTCTAGTGTTTAATGCCCACCTACCTGCCAAGGTAAAGAATGACCACTGCACTTCATGCACTTTGCATCTAGACCTACCTACACCCAACTCTCAGAGGGCTGAGCCATCACTGTGTGTCAGCCCCCGTGTGCAACTGTCGCAGATACTGTGTGAACTTACGAGTAGATCTGGGTTCCTGAATTAGAACACAAAGGATTTGATGAGTCCACTTGCCTTGTCTCTTACCCTAAAGCTTCTGCAGCCCAGGTCCTCCCGTTCCTCTCACGTCAGCAGATCCATTTACGGCACTGTGGGCAGCACAAGCCACAGACCTTCACAGGACTGGGCAGTAGTTGCCCTTTTATGGGGAGTGGGGAGTGTAAAATATATATAACGTAAAATCTTCCATTTTAACTATTTTAAAATGTACAATTCAATGGCATTAATTACATGTACAGTACTGTGCAACTATCACCAGTATCTAAGCTATTTCCAAAAAATTTTCATGGCTACAAACAAAAACTGTCCCTATTAAGCAACAATTCCACCTTCCCCCCACCTCTGGAAACTTCTCATCTACTTTCCGTCTCTATGACTTTAGCTATTTTAGTATTTCACATCAAGACTTCCTAAAGCACTTGTAATCAATGAAGTGAAGTGTAACATTTACCCACAGAGTGAGATACTGTTGCCCCCACAACTGAACTCCACACCCCCTTTCTGCTCCCAGGTGTCGGCGCTGCTGGTTGATAGAGATGCACATGAGCACTGGCTCTCAGTGTACGACGGCTGTGGTAGCTGATGGGGCTCTACAGATGTCCACGTTTTCCCTTCTTCTCTTCTCCAGTGCTGACCACATACCAGGAATTCCAAACTCCTTCTGATTAATTGATTGGAAAATGAATTTTTCCTAACAAAATAATGCGGATTAAACCTGATCTTTATTTTCCTTGCCCATCAGGGGACCTGATTTCCCTGGTCGGTGAGAAGCAGCAAACCAATCATACACTCAAGAAAAAGAAGCCTCAGGTAATTGGTTTCCTGATTATGGAGGAGGAAGGTGATTTCTTCTCCTTTCCTTCCCAAGTTTTCCCCCCACCTGCCTGTGGAGCAGAACCACCACCCTTCAGCTGACAGTGCACATCAGGACACACTCCTTGGCACTGTTTTGCCTTTGTTACAACCCTGAGAATTCTGTTTTTCCCTAAGGAAAATAGAATCACAGTATCCCTGTAGATACTTGCTTTTCTTTGGCATAAAAAAAGAAAGATGAATTATCCTACAGCAAGGAGACATGGGAAGCCCCATCTTCAAACTGACGCTGTCCAGTGATTTTACTTAGCCATATAACACAAATATTATATGCTGGGAATTGATTTCTTAATGGAGCGAGAGGAAAACTCCTCAGTCTGTGTGGAGCCTGACATATTTCATGGCAGCATGTGAGATTGTTATCCGAAAAACAGCAGTTCTTCCAAATTTGAAAACAAGATGTCTAGACTCTTATCCTAATTGATGGCCATGCATAAAAATGTATCATAAAAATGTGTCTGAAACTGTACAGGAGCACAGCACAAACTAAGGTACCTCTTTTAGAAAAACTAGGTTGTGTCTCTGAGAATACATAATCATCTAGCACACAGATGTGTCACAATAGCCAAACAGTTCTGTTATTTTGGGGTTTTCAGATCTTCTTTTCCCAGCGATTATTTCTGGCACCTAAAACTTTACAGACAAAAGCTTTCTGAATGAATAGTGATGATTCTGTGCTATCTCTACTTTTGTATTTAAAATTGTTGTCATTTCAAGAACAACCATTTATTAACTATCAACTTTAGTTCTCATTAAATGTTTTCAGTTCAAAAGCTTATAAAATAGCCATACGAATAAAATCATACTTGACTTCATCAAGTACCATTATAAAGAATAATTTTCTATAACAAGGCTGATTCCAGAGTCCAATAGTTGTACATTGCTCTTCTCGAGACACACACGCGCGCGCACACACACACACACACACACAATTTGCTATCAAGAGCAATTATGTAAACAAGATTGGTTTCTATAATAAAAATAACAACTGTGAGGACTGGCTCTTTTTATACACATTATCTAACTTGCTAAATACCACTCTGCAAAATAATTGACGAGTCATGTTAAAAGCTAATCCTGGAAGCCTTACAGCGAACGGCAAAGCTCCTTCTGATTGGTTGAGTATATGAACGATCCAATTATGGTTTCAGCATGATGCTAAGAGCTAAGTTTCATAGTTTTCCCAATATGCTAAGGGTTCTTCAATATGTTTGGTAGATAACTACCTACTGAACACATTCATTTTAAAACAAATAGTGCTCATGAGGTAACTTGGGCATTATGTTGCCTTATATTCCAGAGGAATCAATGAGTAATGCTGGATAGTAAATATAAAGAAATGATAGCATCCTTTTTGCTGCCCTGCAGTGATCTATAAACGAATCATAGTAAGGGAGAGTCCATTCGTATAGGGCGTACCACGTTCAGGGGCTAAAACTGATCAAGGAGATTGTATTTTGTCCACTGGAAGGTTGTTCTCTCTTCAGACCATCATTCTGTCCAATTGTCCATCCTTTCATTCATCTTTTATGTTAGGCTCCAAAGCAGCAACAAGCATTATATTTTGCTGAGGGGAGACACCAAATGATTCAAGCATGGTCCTTGGTCTACCTAACGATACATCCTCGTTAGGTTTGGATCAGACCAGGAAATACAAAGCATCTTGGAGGAAGTGGATCACAGCTTAGGACTTGATTTAAAAGAAGAAAAAAATTGAGAGAAAGTCAAGGAAATAAGAAAGAGATGGGATCTGGATTCCTAACATGCCCTCCATCACCAGAAACTCCCTGAGCCTAGATCTAGCCAAGTCTAAAAATGATTCTTTCTCTAGACCATGACCCCTAGAAAAAGTATGGGTGCTCAGCTGTCTTCAGATTAGAGTGGAGACAGTGACAAAATTCTCCCGAACAAGTATCTGAGAAATACTGCTACCAAAGTTAGGGAGAGTCTTGGAGAGTTTGTTCACATAACACTACAGTATTTTTCTTTCCACTGAGGAAAAATAAAGAAAAAGTTTCAATTTACGTTGGAAGAAAAGTGTAACTATTGTATACTGAAATAACTTGGGAATAGAGATTTCACAGTTAAATTTTTAGAAGAGTTTTGGAAACACTATAAATTCTCATGTGTCTTGAATAAGAAGTAAAAATCCTACTGAAATTGACCAAAGATCATACTAGTCACCGACTTAAAGTATCATTGCCCAACAATTTTGTTGAATTATAGATCCCCTCATCTAGATGTCTGAATTTTCACATGTGTAATACAAAATGTATTTTAAGAGAAGACAATGCTCTCTGCTAGTAGAAGTTTAGGCATCAGTGAAAGCAGGAGTAAAAATCTTTTCTGAGTAAGGGTCCTTCCCTGATCCTTAAGTTGGAAACTTATAATGAAAGCCAGTTTGCAATGGAATACATGTTTCATTCTTTCCTTTTAATCTAAAGCTTCCAACTTCTCTAAG